ACGGAGCCTTCGCCGTCGTCTTCAAAGGCAGGCACAAAGAGGTGAACGATCTCTTCTTGTTCTTCTTTTTTTTCCTGCTTTTTATTTATTAGTAGGTTTGGGCCGAGCTGGGCACCACGTCCCGGTCACCCCGTCCCTGCTGGGCTGCGGTGGCTATTCTTAGACTGGGCATCAGCCCCGGGCTCTCCGGCAGCTCTGGCGGGGGGAGACGGATTTATTGGGAGACGTATTTATTGTTGTTTATTATTGTTCTCTCTGGAGTTTCTTTGGGCGTGTGTCCCAGCGGGACCCGGGCAGGTGCCTTCACCTTGCGGCGGGGCACAGCGGGACAGAGGCCGGCAGCCTGGTGGGGGGGGGTCCACAGAGAACTTCTGCTCGCCAAAAGCGGCCCTTACCTTAAAAACAAGCGAAAAAGATCCCCCCTCCTCCCGCTGTCTATGAAGCGTTCAGAGAGCTCTTGCTTTGTTGGTTTTTTTTGTGTGTATGTGTCAAGTTTTGTCCTTCTCCACTTAATTTTTCCAAGAGGAGAGGAAACCACTTACTGGTAAATAAACTGAAGCCAATCCGGCAGTGGATTTTCCATCATTAGGGCTTGGGATAAGCCACGGCTCCCACAGTGCGTTTATTTCTAGTGATTAAATAAGAGGATAATCGTTGTATAAAGTAGTATCAAAACCCCAAAACTTGGGCTTTTCTCCTTGGGCTGACAAGCGTAATTCAGGAAAGGGCAAGTCTGAACAAGTGAGGGATAGGCACTAGGGTATGAAGTGAGAGGCCTTTACCAGTGCTGCGAGACACTTCTTTCGGTAATATTTGTAACCTTTTAAAAGGCTGCTTATCCCAGTGTAAATTTCACTATTAATTTACATTTATCTTTGAATTATATATGCACTCTTTCAGAAACCTGAGCTGGAAGTAGCTGTGAAATGCATTAACAAGAAGAACCTTGCAAAATCTCAAACTCTGCTGGGCAAGGAAATAAAAATACTTAAGGTAAAGGGAGACAGACTTGTTTTCTTCAGTCTTTGTTCTGTGTGCCCTTTGTTGCTCCTGGCTTATGGTCTTTGTTTTACTTTTTCTAGGAACTGAAACATGAAAACATCGTTGCCTTGTATGACTTCCAGGTAAATACATTCAATTATGTCAAAGCATTCTGGATTAGGAAGAGGTTGAATGGAGTTTATGGAATTTCAGTTTTTAACAGATGTTTTTTAATCAAATGTGTGTTCTGGGGGAAAAAAAAGTCTCAAGTTGGGGAAAGATAAACATGGCTGAGCAGATCATGTATCTGTAGCCTGGACCACAGAACTCTCAGGCAGTTGAGAGTTGAGGTGAGAGCTTCTGCTCCCAGGATGTTGAAATGCAGCGTGGGGTGAATATGTCTGTGCTGGAAGCTCATAAGTTCTGTGTTAGAAATAAAAGTTACAGTAGTTATTCCTGGCATGCATACCTTTTATTTTCTTTCTCTGGTCTGGATACACTCCCCAGGAAAAAGAAATTTCCTTAGGTAATATAAAAATAGTGTGAGCATGACTTTGTAGCGTATGATTGTCTTCAGTTCCAGAGGATTTTAATTTGCATTTTTCAGTTGTCCTTGTGGCAATCACTAAGTGTTAAAAATTGCATCAGACATATTTAGATTATTGTGGTTTCCCACAGTTGCTTTTTCCTTCAAAGTCAGCTCTCGAGATCTAATCTAAGGGGCTAAAGCTGATCCGCTCTGAACCCCAAGTTATCCAAAGACTTTCATTTTTCTCCTTGAATTCTTAGTTAGGAAATCCTGCTGGGTCATGGGGCAAGCTTTGTTTGATATCTGGGGTGCCTTTTCAGGATCACAAAGCCTGCAATGGGCCCTTCCTGGATGGAGGGGCTGGCATGCAGGACTTGGTACAGCCTGTGCCACCCTAAGGTCTGATGTTTGTGAGCGAGGGCTGCGTGACCGCTGGTCCACCAGCCCCCCGCGTGGCCCTGGGGTGGCTTATCTGGCACTGCCTGCCCTGTCCCGGGTATCACGTGTCCTGCAGGCCGCCGTGTTTGTTGACATTCCTCCTTCTCCCATGGATTGGCTCCGGTGGCTTCCGCGTCACCCCAGACACGAGTCCCAGCCGGTTGGTACAGCCTGTTTGCAATGCTTTCTGGGTGCTGTAGTCTGCCTGTCACCCGCTGCTGCGGCCCCCCAGGGCTGTGTCACCCACCTTGCCCCCCTCTGCCGGAGCAGGGCGTTATGGCAAGGTGCTGCAGGGGGCCAGGCCCTTTGATAGTGTTTAATGCCTGCTGTGGTTTTGGCGAGAGGTGGATGTGGGGGATTTCGGGCTGCTCTGCGAGGGAGGAAAGGCTGCTGGGAATGGGATTGGCTCTTGGAAATACCCTTTGAATAAGAGGCCAGCTGTGCATTGCTCCTGAAACACCCTTTAGAGCAGGTCTTGCAAAGCGGTGGCTGCCTTCAGCCTGAAGCGTGCTGCAGGGCAGCTCAGAGAGCTGGGGAAGTTTCCTCAAAGCACAGGCCACTTAGGGCATTAATCTCATGGGGTCTCTTTAGTCTCCTCTGTACCTTCTAAATTTACTTAATAACTTTTCAGTTGAGGGAGCGAGTGGCTGCTCCTGTGCTTCCTCTACAGTTTGTGTTTGTATGAAGCATTACGCTGCTGGATTTGCTTATTACAGATCTTTCAAAACCTTTGTTCATGTTCTGTTCCTCACCCTGCTTCAAGTAACTACTGGGTAGGAAGCAGCTTAAAGACATGTCCTGCAAAAGGAGTGATTTCATCACTTCAGCAATGCATTTTTCTCTTTATGTGATGGCAAATGAGCTTTAGTTAAATTACCTGTATAGCAGTGTAGCCTGGTGAGATATGAGCAAGAAGCTGTGTAGGATACCACAAGGACAGGAACTTGAGAATGGTCCTGGGCTCAAGGCCTGCCCAGGTATATATTTAGTTACCAGCTTTGTCAGAGTCCTTGTATGACCTGGGTAGTTTGATTTATTGGACAAAATGAGATGACTTAGGTAGGATTGGATGCTACCTAGTGCTGCCAGGGTGTGTAGTCTCCTCTGGTGTGAGGTGATCGCTCATCAGGCACAGCCTGATGTGGTCCACCCACAAAGGCTGTGTGCGTGATGTGTCTGAGTGCTTGGCCTTGCTCTGAGTCTGCTCAGGAGCTGTATGACAGTGATTATCTGCAAAGGTACAAGTGCAGCTCAGTGGAAGGCTGGCTCCTGCCCACTTTTCCTTACTTTGTGGAAAAGACTGCTTGTTACTCACCTTGTTCCTCTGATACATGATCAGTTGCCTCATTCAAAGCTGCATATATATTTATCCCCACAAATGTCATGGTTGCAGTTAACTAAGCCCTTACTTTCTTAAAACTGAAGAGGTTTATTCTTGTATTACAACATCGAAGAGCAAAAAGGAAAAAATATTTCCTGTGAATCTCAATGTTGCTCTGTAGCTTTGTCTGTTGCTGCGTTTTGTGTTGTCCCTTCCTCTGCACTGCCTGTCAACAGTGACTTTAACTTTTACTCACATGTTCCCTACA